AAACTCTTACCGTTGAAGAGCAACAGGACTTGGCTGTGAACTGGGAAGTTCAAAAAGGGCCACTTGCAGAGCCGACAGACACACACCCTCCCACTTCTCAGCAAGATCACCCCAAAGGAGAGGAATGGCTTCTCCATTAAAAGTTGCAGGTTTCCTCTCTTCCCACTCCTGTTCAAGATTACCCTATTTGTTGGCTTTGCTGGATCTTTGGGGAACTATCTTCAGAGTTATATTTATTAGTCAAAGTAAAACTGCGTGGCAGAGAACTTCATCATTTTCCTCTTCAATTTTGTCACAGTATTTTCTTACCAGCCTTGGAGCCCTCGCTCTGCCATGTTATTTCTTCCAGTACTCAGAATATTTTCGTGCTCTTGCCTTCTTCTTTTGTGGGAAATTTCAGACATGCTGCAATTCTAGACATCTTTCTATGGCCGGCTGAAGAATAGGTTTGTTGCAGTGAGTCTGGATGAGTGCAATTGTGGGAACTGTAATAGGGGCAGGAGGGGGCCTCAGTTTGTGGGAAAGATGTAATAAGAATCCTTTTCCACAGCTTCTTACTCCATGGCAGCCCCTGTGGGGTACCCAGGGGGAGAAGGGGGTGGGTTTGTCTGGGAACAAAAATGAATCCCAGGATCTGTGTGCCCAGCAGCCTTGAGGAAGAGTCCCCTTCTCATTAACTGTGCCTAAGCTGTGCAGCCTTTCATGTACAGGAGAAAACCAGGAACTGGCAATGGCATAGGGAAGAAAAAATAATAATAATAATAATAATAAAATATATATATAAATATGGTGACTTAAACTAAACAGCTTCCGTGCGACTGGGAGGAAATACACTGAAAGACAGAGCTGTTGGGGGACTGCCCCTCTAAATTGCCAATGTAAACCACAACTTCCATGTTTTGAGCGTGTGCTACTGTGACAGGAGGAACCAGGTCAGCAGTAAGCCACCTGCTGAGCCATTAGTCCCTTCCTACACCTGCCTATTATAGAGGCCAAAAGTGAACTGCGGATGAATCCACTGGATTCCCACCAGCAAGAGGGAAGGAGAAATGGCACCTCCAGCCCCGCGGCCAGGCTGCACCCACCTCCCTCTCACCCAAACCATGGGGTCAGGGGTGAAGAGCCCTCCCCAAACAAGCCTGGCAGAGGCTTCCCACAAAGGCACATCTGTACAGATAAGACACGTAAAAAAATATCCAAAGCATTCATGCTCAGGACAACTTACTCCAGAAGGAAAGCGAGACTACCAAACATGCTAACACATCGGAACAAAACCAGTGCGCAGGGAGAGCACGGAGGCTGCCACTACATGACCTGAATCCATGAACCCTACGGGACAGCCACACTTGTACCGTGACCTAATCCACACCACGCTCTCCTATTTAACTGTCCTCACCCACACATCTTCACTGGTGGCGACACAAGCGGGACTGCCCGCGGAGGCCATGAGATGGCTCCTTAAACTCACACGTTGCCAAGCCCAGGAGTGCTTATCTTGGTGGTAGGAGGCCACATCCTCCCCACCCCTGCTCGTAACAAGGTTGACCCTGGCTGAGTATGAACTGGTCAGGGAAACAAGTCCCTGGGGACTTCCAGTGCAAAAAATAAAAATAAAAATTGCAGCTATTCACAAAACAGATCGGTCTGAGCGCCCTTTGTCTTTCTATTTATGCCTACTGGATCTGCCCGTCAGCTGGTATAAATCTGCCCAGCACTACTGCCTTTTTGTAGTCCTTGCCAGAGTACACCAGCTGATGACTTAATGCTAGCATCAATAATCTTTAGCACAAGAAAGGCCCTGAGAAATAAACAGTGCTGTAGAAAACCCCACACAACCAGTACATCAACACTGATAATATTTCACATGCAGCGGATGGCAAGGAGAGGCTGTTTACAAACTCACAGCAAGAGCAGTAAGGAAAAAAGTGGCCCAAGAGCATGCAAAGCCTTTATTGCTGAATTCCTCCTGCAGTCGATAACAGGTACTGAGCAGCGTCTGCTTCGAGACCTGCCAAGGATGCCAGATTAGAAATCAAACTGTAAAAATACCCTGTGATGGTGCTCGCATTTCCGTGCTGGTGTGATGCTGCTGACTGGTCCTCTTTGGCTTTAAATATGATGCTGTCAGTACTGTGAATATTTCTTAATCAGCACTGAAGAGTGGCTGCCAGGAAAGTAGAAGTGGCTGTCTATCAGTCTTGCTTCTGCAGAAAGAGCGATTGTTTAAAGGGGGGGGGGCTGTGTGACCTTTCCATTTTTCAAATGTGTATCTGTTTGCCAAGACTGTGTCATTCTTTGTAAGCATTTTGTTGTTCAAAACAAATCTTATACTGTGTTGTGTTTTTTTTTTTTTTTTCTGCTCCCTGAGTATGTTGCCATTCAGCAGCCTCATACTAACAAGTAACAAAGCCACATGTAAGATCCACCTCGCAATAACAAGCAAGTGCATACATCCTATTTCTAAGACACAAGCAACTCTGTGGAAACGGGCAACGTGTTAGCGAGCTCTGCAGACAGGCCTGGGGTGGTCAGTCTGCAGAAGGAGCCCTACAATAACAAGTGCACTCTGGCTTTTGCTCACAAACAATCCTCCAAGAGTAAACAAGTGCAGGCAGGCTGATACTGCTGAGCAGCACCACAGCACCAAATGTGGTCCTCAGGAACAGCCTCTGCAGAACTAAGGCAGAAATACAGGCATGCAGAGAAACAGGTCTTGAGATAGCTAAGGATGAGAAAATGTTTTAAATCGTGAAGGACATACTTAAAATGCTCTAAAGCACTTTGAGAATACCAGGGCAATTATGAGGTACAGGGATAGCTAACAAACAGGCAGCTTATGTATTCTGTATATTGCTGTGCACTGCACTCAAACATATCTTTCATGGCATTCCTGATGAGAAGCCAACACAAATGCCACTCTGATTAATCAGGAAACTACCCAGCAACAACATGAAAAGTTTGCACAACATCAGCAAGCACACAACCTACTCTGAAAGATATCTGGGTGAGGAAAGGTGCTCCTTTCATCAATACAAAAAACCCTAAGGCTCAGTGCTTGCACAGATAATGAAGCCAAACATGTTTACACACCAGTGATCATTACACATGGTGATTAGGGGAGATCTTAGGTTAATTTTCATCTCAAGCACTCTGCTAGCCAACAGAGTGATGACCTGCTGCCCCACCTAACCTCTCCAGAGTGACAAGTCAGGTGCTCTTCCACAACCTACAAGCCTGTCTTGTTCCTGGGGAAAACAAAGACTCTCAACATATATGATTAAAAAGGTCAATGAACCCCATACACTCAAACGGGTGTAATATGACCAGCTGAGCTAAAGCACAAATTCCTCTTGCTGGAAGTAAATAGCACACTGTTATCTCCCCAGGGGCCAGCCAATAACAGGAGGCATGTTCCCATTCACTCCACCAGTGTGTGATATGCTAGTGCTCTGCCTATAAATACAACAGCTTGGTTTTTGTTTTTGGTGTGCTTTTTTTTTTTTTTTTTTTTTTTTTTTCTTTTAACAAGGCTGTGACAACTTCATCTCATCTGGGTACAACAAACATGCTTGAGTTGTGGCTACACAGCAGGGCTTTCTGTTGGGTGTGCACGTGGTGGTGTTTTCTCCACCACATGACCATATGTTGTACGGTCCTACTGCTCAGCGTGGCTGCATCTCTCCCAGTGCGTTAGGAGAAAATCAGGGCAGGAAATCCCAGTGGCAGCATGGGGACAGAGGACTTGGGGACATGCTCATTGAACTGCACCTGAACTGGAGACAGTGGGCTTTGGGCAGTACTACAGCCCAGGGAGCTCAAATGAGAAAGAAGCTAAGGCACTGGTAGGGGTGCAGAGGAAAGTTCCTTTTACAGTGTGAAATAATAAATATGACCATGACAAAAAGGCAATACTGGGCTCAGGATTCTGTCTTGGTACTATGCCAGCTAACCACGCTTTGTACGTTTAAAAATGACCTGGTCATTAATTTGTTACAGACTTGTGCTATGTGAACAAGGCCAAGTCTCTTGGATAAAGATGTTTTCTCTTGCAAGCCAACTGGAAATGCTTAGCATTTACTATTCACGGAGAAATCTGCTTGTCATATCTGTGACATTGCATTCCTCTCTGCACTGCCCACTCAGGACACCTCCCTGACAGTTAGACTGCAAGAGCAACTTGGCTGCATCAAACCCAAAGTCCATCTGATCCACTGCTCTGTCTAGCGAGGGACATTGGTGGATGCTGAAGGTGGAATATACAATGTAGCTCTTGTATATGATGATCCTTTTCTTGCTGTATCCTCTAAAAAAACAACAAGCAATGCGGGCTTTCCTGAGTCAGAGTGTTGCATCTGGACTGTTGCTTCTGCATCATGTACAGCTCTGTTTTCCAGGCATTTATCTAATGTCTTTTTGAACTCATTTGGATCTAATTCTCTCAGGGAGACAAAAGGTAAAGTTATGGTAACTGGAGCTATTTATGTTACAAAGGAGACATGTAAGAAAGGGGTTAAAGCTAATGAATGGCTTTGGGAATGGACAGGACCTTTCTCAGAATAGAACAATAGGGTGCTTTTATGAATCCGGGAGGCAGAAAACACAAAACTATTAAAAAAGAAAGAACACTCTTTTGTATTATTCTGCATTAGCCTTCAGAACTCATTGCCACAAGATAGCACCCTGTGCTGGCTATAGAGAGCCTGTCTAGTCTTTTAGGTGATGCTAGTTAGCCAGAGGTGACTCCTGCACAGCTTATTGAATCAAGCAGACCATGACTTCAGGCAGCAGTTCAGATGGGTGACTGGAACTGAATTTCAACTCCATCACCACTAAACAGGCTCAGAAACAGGGAAATTGCTATCAGAAACCTCCTTTGGTGAAGTATCAGGATAACAGACAGGGGTAACATCACACATGAATGCTGACCATCTAGTTATGCTCATGACTGTCCTTGCTGGCCTCCACCTTCTAGGACAGGGAACAGCATCTGCTTCCCTTACCTGGGTTGCTGCTGGCTGACCGATGACCACCCATCCTGGACACTGCTGGTCACTGTGATGTGAGACGGAGACATTGGAAGCCCACTGATCGAGGAAGCCTTTGGGAGTGTAAACGCCACAGTCTTTGATGCTGGTCATTTGCTCGAATTCTTCACATACTCCATCACCATCGTGGAAATAGCACCTGCTGGGTTCATCTGCCAGGAGAAACCAAAGAGAAATCAAAAAATGGCTACATGTCCATGGCCTAGTTGCTAGGATCTAGTAACACCAGCGGTGGTGCATCTGCTGGTCCAGATCACTGGGGAGTGAAAGCATCGGTCACTTCTGGCCAGCAGCAGGGCACTTCTCAGAAAGTCAGTTTTTAGTCAGTTTTGTTATTGGGCAAAACCCTCAAAACATTTCTCAATGCGAAGGTTTTTCTGCTTATTTTTGTCTATCTCCATTTAAAAGGATGGAGACAGAAGAAAGCAGAGATCGAAAATATATGGAAAGACAATGTGGGTGTTGGCATAAATCCACTGCCTTGGGTGGAAGATAGCCAGCAGAGGGTCTGGTCTACAATGTTTCCCTTTTTGTTCTTAAAAGATATCTGCAAAACAACAACAGCAGCATCTGTGAATTTAGGGATGGCAAAAACTGCCAAGTTCACAGCCACAGGACCAAGGGCCAACCAGATCTGTTTATGCAAGGCACAGATACAGTCCACATAGTGTGAGGGTAAGCTTGCCACATCCACACACGGCTTCAACCAGCATAACTCAGATTTGACCTGAAAGGATCAAAAGCAGCAGGAGACTTTATTATCCTTGTCCATTTATTCTGTGGCTTCTCTAATGAGACTGCCAACAAAGATGCCAAATTTTTGAGGTTGTTTCTGTAACATTGGCCCATTAAAAACTGAACCAGGATCCATCTACTCTTTTCAAACAGACTGCATAGCAATAATGACTTTCAGTCATTAGAGTACTCTGTGAAATGGAAACCTTTGACCTGTTGGTATCCTATTTTGTATTGTATTATCATTGCCAGTCCCCAGAGGTATCCAGTTCTGACAGCCTGTTGTATTTTTGTCTGGCAAATAAGCCTGCTGAAAAAACGGTAGGAAATTAGCCAGAGCTGCGAGCTGGGCTGATGGAAACGATCCCTAAGGAGAGTCCTGCCGGTAGCATTGGACTATCTCGAGCTAGGTGTCAGAAAATCCAACGGCTGCTCAATTTTGAGCTACTTCCAAACTACTAAATCCCCTGTTTATTTTTCCTCCTAGTTTACACAGTGAAATACCATCATGAGCCAGAAAAAAAAATCAGTTTATTGCAATTCAATTATTTAATGACTTTCGCTCTTTTCCCCCCTCCCCTCCTCCCAATCCCCCGTGCAAAATTCTAGGTGCTTACGAGAGCGTGAACTTGAAAGAACGGAGAAGCCTATCAGGGAAGAAGGTCATTCTGCTTTCCTTTCATCACGACCTCTGCGGCCAACTCGTGTACGTGGATGACTGTGGGGAGCTGTGTGTTTGCCGGGCCAGCACTACGAGCTGGCGAAAATGAGCCAGCGTGAGCCTGGAAGCCATTCAGCCGTGCGAGCGCAGCACTGTGGCTGAGCTAATATTCCAGGGGTGGCCAAACTGCTTGACCCTACAAGTCACATCTTAAACTCTTCATATGGCCGGGAGCCACCAAATGTATACCACACACCTCGAAGAGCTCAGAGGAGCAGCGGTCGGGGGGAGAGCTTCACAGGCGAGGCTGACAATGGCTCCCCAGGGTGCCCCATTACTCCACGGTGGGAGAGGGCCGGGGTGGATGTGCAGATGGGCTCTAATGCAACCCAGCAGGACCGGCCCCAGTGGCCCCGCTGCCCAGCCTCCTCCTGATGCCAGCAGGGCCCTGCTGCCCATCATCCGACACCGGCCCTGCTGGGAACACGGCACGGGAACTGCTCGTGAACCGTGTGTGCCCTCAGAGCCCCAGTTTGGGCATCCTCACTGCACACCTTATTGCTCCACAGGGTTTGTTGGTGCTGGCCCAGCGCCACAGCAGTGTGGGGTGGGAGAGATGCGGCCTGGGCCTGGTCAGCCCAAGGAAGGCGCAGAGCTCCGTGTAACGGAGGTTAGCTCCTGATTCCCCTCACCTTATCCGTAAGCATCTCTTGCTCTGTGTGTCTCTGCAGAGAGCTGTCAAAGTGTAGGGCAGCTCTCTGCTGTGCCCAGGAACAGGGGGATGAAGCAAAGCAGCTCTCCCACCTCGCAGCTCTGTGTCCCACTTTGAGCGAGAGCCTCAGCAGAAATCTCTGGGAAACGCTCGGCTCTGGGATGACTGCGGTCAGCAATCAAAAATCCTCAAAAACAAATCCCAAACATATGAAAATATCTATTTTTGGAAAAAGAGTTTCTTTGTCATTTAATGAAAAGAGGCTTATTTCCGTAAAAAGAAAAAAAAAAAAAAAAAAGGAAAAGCAAAAGACCTACCATATTAAAAAGACCCAGCCTTCAGACCACGAACAGATGCACAGTCAGATAGACACTTCCAGTGACACACACTGGCACCCAAATACATCCTGCTACACACCCACACCGACAGAAGCACTGACACACAAACACATGTACGCTCTCTTTACACATCCCCGATGCAGCCACCCCACCGATGCAAACACACACCCAGAAACTCACAGCCTAATTTTAGGCACACACATTCAGACAGTGTTTCCCTTGCCTCCCTGAAGCACGGACTTATTTTCACGATAGGCACTGAAGTAAGCACAACATTTATATAGCCAACATACTCCTGCACTGGCTCCAAATGTTCCCTCCTAATGCGATGATAAACGTAATGGGCTTCTGATAAGATCATGTGTTTGGGATAAAAGAATACTCAAGACCTACTCCAATCAGATGACTTAATTCATGCGCACATGGATGGGAAGGCAGCCCTTGAATAGCTGTGATCCAGGCCAGTGTGTGATCCTAACAGAGGCTAATTTGTTCCTGATTATGCTTAAGACCCCAATAAATCTGTCTGCTCGGAGCCTGCAAAACCCGAGGGAGGAACCGAATGGAGAGACTGAGATGTCTGAATTAAATGGAGACTGCCTAAAAATGCTTAACAAAGCCTTACTGACCTGCATGGCCACTCACCCTGCCGCCAGGTCTGCTGGCTGCATGGCCGCATGCCCAAAAACCGAGAGCAGATGAGGTACCTGCTCACCTCCGTGTGCTGTGAAAGATGGTGGGGGAAAGGGGACAGGTCCCCTGCTCAGAGTCATGTCAAAGACGGGAACTTTTCCAAATCCTTCCCAGGCACTGACGAGGGGACTGAAGAGCCCACATACAGCCCACGGCAGCCAGCTCTTCCTCCCGCAGGTGCTGAGCACCAGCTCTGACTCCTGATCTGGGATGGGATGCTTGGTAGGTTAGAAGTCAGGCTTCACATTTTTATAAGCACAGTGAAAAGCAACCAGATTGTTTCTTCCAAAGACTGCCCTCACAAAACATAAACTAACAGGCTTCTTCCCTTTCCACCAGCAGTGTGAAAGATCAGTTGAATCTGAGAGTCCTACAGGCTCAGAGCTGTGGAGGGCAGTGTCAGGAGTGGTGTATCTCCAGTAAGCAGCAGCAAGCATCTTTATTTCCACAGTGGTGCAGAAGGCCTTTTCTGATCTTTTGTTGCCTACTGTTACGTTAAATGCATCCAGGGCCTTGATAATACAATCTAATTCTTGTCTCCACAGAGCTCTATAGGATACAAAGACCTGATGAAGGCCATGGTGATGTGCTGGGCACTCACGCCATGGAATACGTTCATCAATACTGCGGACTTCTCACTTTAAAATCGAATCTGATTTGAGTAATGTATGGAGGAAGAGAACGTGAAGTAAGTCTGATTTGTCCTCAAGGAGAATGACTTCAAAAAATTAAAAAACAGTTGCCTGGAAATCCAGCTTAAACCTAGAACAGAAAAATGTCTGCAGGCGTAGCACCTGGCAGCAGGAGACAGCATCCCCGGGGACTGACAACAGATGCTGAAGGATCCTGAGCTGAACTCGGGGAACGTGTATTCATTCAGGCAGTCAGAGCTCCTTTCCCCTGACAAAGCCATCACTGAAGGCACCGAAACGTCAGAGCCAAACCAAAGTCCCTCTCTTGCCCCTGTTTTAGGCTAGTGGAAGAAAGAAATCTCTGGTTTAGCAGAGAAATCTGTCACACCTGAGAATCTCTGAACACTACATGGCACCCATCAACCTGGAGAAGGGGGATTTGTGGGGGAAACATCAGCAAGACCTGGCTTGTTTTCTAAAATTGCCAATTGTAATTGGACTTCAAGATCTGGAACAACTGTGGGGCTATTGTGCATTGCACAGAAAATGATGCGAGCTCTGTTTGTCCTTGCCTCTTAAAGATGCTCAAGCCAGTGCAAAACACAGTGTTTTGCACCAAAATACAGCCCCTCCGGGGCTTAGAGATAAAAGAGGCACCAGGTAAGGAAGAGGACTGGGAGAGAGGCCAGGGAGCACCCACCAGACCCTGCCAGGGCTAGCAGGTAACTCCCCATCACCTGCCTAAAGCAAGGCCAGAAAAAAACAAGTGACACAAATCAAGTCTGAAACGCATCAGGAAGCAGACATGCAGGATATACACTTATCTGCGATAGGCAGCCTTCCACCTCATTAAAAAAAAAAAAAAAAAGAGAGAGAGAGAGGGAGAGAGAGAGATAAAGAGATCCACTTCATAGCACAGGGCACATCCTCCGATGAGGCTTTTAATGTCCGAGCTGCATGGTCAAAGTGCTGGGGACAGACACTCGGGGCGGCTTCCTGTTTTCAGCTAGGATGCAGTGATTGGCATCAGCATAGTCTTCTTTTGTGCAATAACTACAATTATTTTTTTAAAGGCCAGACAAAAAAAAAAAAAAAAAAAAAAAAAGTATTTTTAAGCTCAGCTGTTTACTTAGGGATGCTTCCAACTATAACAAGCCTCATGCCACATAACTATTCGTCCGAGGGAAAAAGAAAAAAAAAAGAAAAAGAAAAAAGGGGGGGACACAAAAATGCAGAAGCATTGTCTCAGAGTAACAAATTCTTGGAACAGAGTGAGCTTCACATTTTAACCCTTGAAAGGTCTGTTCAGACCTTGCAGGGAGGCAAAGGCATGCGGGCCCTTTTGGCTGTGGTGAGGGTCAGATCACAGGCTCGCCGAAGT